TTTTCATGTTTTATATTTTTTTTGCCATTTCGTCCTCAAAATTAACTATCTAATTTGCTCTGGTGGATATCTATGTTACTACCAGAATCAATTATTTATCAGGTAGTATTGATTATGGTTTACAACCATGCTATATAGATTTTGTTGCACAACTCATTGAAGAGGCTTCTTTATGTTCACATGCCGAAAAGAAAAGGGAAAGTGAATCAGAAACAAAGAAAACCTGGAAAACTCACACATCATATATTGTGGATCATTATGTTGATGTTGTTTCTTCATAAAGACCAAAGAAGTGATATGAGTTTGAACTGCCTTTCTTGTTTGTACAGTATACTGCAATACTTTGATAATGTTCTGGAATATTTCTTTCTGATAATCTCTCTCTGTTCTCTGTATCACATTTATATCTACTAACCATCTAATTTAATTTCTTTTCAAGATACGTCAACATCATTACATGACTTTTCTGTGTATGAGCATATATACATATAGAGGAGGGAACATTTATCGAATTTCTGCATGTCTGTGCTTCCTGATATGATGCTGAACTGTTTTACAGGTTTGAACCAGATATGCTAGCATTTTCTGGGTGTTATTTTGGTGGCGGTGAAAAAGAAAGAAATGAGCTAGGAGAAATAAGAAAACGATGGGAAACATTACCTGTAAGATTATGGAGCTCTATGGTTTCTGATGTATAATTCTTGACAGTTCTTTTTTAGCAAGACATTTAAGCTACTCTACTTTAGAATCCGAGTATACCCAAGTTCTTGCTGAATATATTCTCTTTGTGATTTTCTTTGTCTTGTCCTTTTCCTTATCCTGAAATGCATATATGATACCTGCCACCAATTATTGGAGCATGTGAAGCTTGTGGTTCATTTTATTTATTTTCCCTTCATCTGATTTTGTTTTTGGTACAGGATTTGGATCCTTTGGAAGAAAGGAAGCGAGGGAAATGTCCCCTGACTCCTCATGAAGTGGGATTAATGCTGCGGGCTCTTGGTTTTTCTAATGATACATACCTTTACATTGCATCTGGAGAAATATATGGCGGAGAAGAGACTCTACAACCTCTAAGAGAGCTCTTCCCAAATTTCTATACAAAGGAGATGCTTGCAAACAACGAGTTGAAACCAATTCTTTCTTTCTCTTCTCGACTTGCTGCCATTGACTACATCGTCTGTGATGAGAGTGATGTGTTTGTCACTAATAATAATGGAAATATGGCCAAGATTCTTGCTGGTAGAAGGTGAGAAATCCTTTTACGTTCCTTCTTTGTAGTGTGCCGTCATTGTTAAAGATCAGTCTTGGAGACATGTATAAAGAATAGAGTGCATAGGGTTAATAAAAAGCTGTCTTGTCATAAATACTTTTTAACAAGAAAGAAGTTCAAAGAAAGATATATAGGACAGTTCTCATCTTGACAGGAATTGGAATAGCATAAGGTTTTAAGTCCTCATCTTGTGAAGAAATTATCTTATTTCTAGACCTAGGCTCCTGGCTGACCTTTGGATTTGGATGTATAGGATATTTGCCATTTCCTGATTTCTGATTATTATATTATTGAGTTATTTAATGCCTTGCATATTCTAATGCCCCCTTTAAGGAATGCTATGTTACAATTTGTTTAGGGAGAGTAGTCCAAATGGAAGGAATCAGGCAGATGGATTCATTTTAACATTCAGCTACTATTCCTTGTATGTTCTTTAGGGATTTGCATCTGCCAATTCGGTCAGTTTTGATTAGAAGTATTCAAAGCCAAAAAGAACAATTTAGCCAAATTAACTAAACTGAAGCAGGAGGGGATACATACAGAGGCTATAGAAAGGATCACTTTTTTCTGGGCTTTGGAACATCTGGCTTGTAAGGAACTGTTAGTTTTTTAATGACCGGATGACACCTTCCTAAGAGTTGTGGATAGAGATTTTTTTTTTTGAAATAAAAGTAGGAAAAAATATATTAAAGATACAATGCCAAAGGGGCACAACCCATGTACAAAGACAGAGAAGAATTTACAGATCTGTAATAATATCAACAATAGATCGAAAATCCTTTAACTATCTAGATTGTGGCCAGATAGTAGACCAAAAAAATGTAGTCATCCATCGTTGA